GGGCTGCTCCACCTTCCCTGTTCCAGCTGACCTGACCAGGTGCTTCTCTGGACAAGCACCTCCTGTTTCAAGTGCCCTGTGTACCTGTTTATCTTAAGGGATACCATCTCTTAGTTTCTTTCCATGGTAAATTTCTCATCCCTCAAGACTTAGAAAAGTCTTGACCTCTTCTGCAACCCCACCCCTCCCCGTCCTGCCAGAGAGCTGGGACACAGTGGACCCCTAGTGGAAAGCATCGTCTGTAACCGTTTGTTAGTACACCTGTCTACTCCACCAGACTTCACACCTTCTAATTTTGCAGCACTTCATCTAATTTATTTCCATGCTACACAGCCAGCCAGTACCTGGCATAACGTAAACTCTCAACAAAGTGTGTAAACATATGAATGGATAAGAATGACTTACAATCACAAAACCTGAATGAAATTTAAGATTTCATTTATTTGAAATTAAGTGAAAAAATAAGATTTCATTTATTTCATCACATTTTCATTTCTTCCATGAGAAAATTCTAGATTCTGGGAAGAAAAACTATAAAAACTGTACCATCTCTAATTATTTAATTTTAAAATATGGAAAGTTCAAAAATGTATTTGCTTGTCACTCAGCCTTTACTGGGTATACCCTTTGCTCTTAAAAAGTTAGAAATTATTAATTTGGGAGATATGTGCCCAAATTAATTTGCAGATTATATATTTCTCTGGTGGATTGGTCCCAGACACACTCCCCCTTTTTTTTGGCAGTTTTTGGCTGGGGCTGGGTTTGAACCCACCACCTCTGCCATATGGGGCTGGCGCTTAGTCCTTTGAGCCACAGGCACCGCCCTGTACATGTCCTTTTTTCTAGATGCAGACTTTGGCACTGACTCACCTGTCTACGGCTATTGCGACCAGAGTGAAGACTGAGGCTGCGACGGACACCCCCTGGACCAGCCCACTGATCTTGCACATTGCACTTCCAAACGGCCACCCTGAAAGGGAGATGGAACAGCCTTTTAACAGATGAAGATTTTTTGCCTCCTTAAAAATATAAACAAAACTTGAAAAATCAAAACAAATGCAACTGTTTTCTGAGTGATAGCAAAAAAAACAATGTTTCGCAGCATTTTCATCTCCAGAGCTATATTTTTAGTACACTAATGTCAAAAGTGATGTAGGAGCTACAACATTCTAGACCACCATTATAAATGGGCTACGTCTATTAACATAATCCTGGCAACAAGCTTCTGCTTTATTATTCTCTTCACAGTATACACAAGATAACAAAGAAACAAATACCACAGACCTTGCCCAGCTAGTTAACACCTTTTAAGTATTTGAACCTGGGCAGTAGGTTCCAGAGTCCAACCCATTAACCCTTAGTAGTAATGAACTTTAAAAGAATAGTCGGGTTTTTGGTTTTCTAACTTGAAAATGTGCTCCCTAAATTACTTTAGGAGTTGCATACAAAATAGATCATCATGTTTACTATTACCCAATGTAACAAGACAGTTTATCTCATAGGTTCTCCCAGAATAAAGAGCACTTTGTCTGAACAAAAATTCCTCTAAGGTAAATTGTCAAATAGAATACATTCATTCATATTCTAATTTCCAAAGAGTAGGCCGAGAGACTACTTTTGAATTACTTCCTAACTGAACCTCAGCCAATAGAAATTAGTAATTATTATGGCAGGCAGATAATAACTAATTACACAACCGTCTGCTAGTATAGGAAAGAAACAGTATTCTTTTTCTAGCAAACATTCTAGTTTCCAAAAGATGAATACTATACATTTCTTAGTTTTTTTTTAAAATTTATCTTTTAAAAAGTTCTGTTATTTATTTTCCCCAAACAAAATATTCTTAGTAATGTAAATATTTGAAATAAAGTAAATAATCCAAGTATATCTAAAAAAATTTACCTAATTAAGCCATCTTAATATAAGGACCTGGATTACTTTGCTGACTGAAAACCAAGAGAGAATGCCTCCCAAGTATTAACATTTAGGTTGTAACAACACTATTTCAACAAAAATGCATGAATGTACACTGGCCTTGGCAGAACATGGAAAAGTAAGAAGAAGTTTATCTTATCTCATTCCCCAACTCCAGTGAAATCTCAGCTCTGGGACAAAAGAACATAGACCCACAGAAATGGAGATTCCAGAAACTACCAAACATGAAGTCGGACACAACACAGTTGGTGGGAATCATGTAAAAATCCAATCAGTCCTGGCTCCACGCCTGTAGCTCAGCCTGCTAGGACACCAGCCACATACATCAGACCTGACAGGTTCGAATCCAGCCCAGGCCAAAAAATAGCCAGTCTTTTTGGTGGGTGCCTGTAGTCCCAACTACTTGAGAGGATGAAGCAAGAGAATCACTTGGGCTCAGGAATTTGAGCTATGACGCAACAGCACTCTACCCAAGGCAACAGCTTGAGACTCTGTCTCAAAGGAAAAATAAAACTCTAATCAGCCCCACACGGCATTTCCCCACTGGCAGACAAAGGGAAGTTTACTCTCTGAGGAGGTGGAAACACAAGACTCCAGACTCTGAGAGCACTGGCCCAAGACGCAGAAGGGCTGAGTGGGAGACACCAGCGGCAACCCTGCTGGGCAGAGACGCTCAGCTCCCACCTGTGACAGCCCCCAGAGAGTTTCCTTCTGGGAAAGGGATCTGCTCCACAGTCCTGATTAGCAGGTTTTGACAGTAGTGGATTTCCCAGGGAATACTCCAGGTTAATGAAGAGGTGGTGCCCACCGTAGCCTCCCGGCAAGCAGAGCCTCCGTCTGAGACACCAGCAGCTCAGGCACAGTGGCACGACAGAAACCCCAAATGAAAGAATGAGACTGAAACAAATAGGAAGAAAGACATTTATGGGGAAACACATCTGAGTCGGACACCTGAAAAATGAAAACCAAACACAAATATTACTAATAACCTCAGAAATAGAACAAAAATTTATCCATGGAACGTGTGCATGCGGAGAGAAAAAACATGCAGAAAATCAAGACAGCTCCAGGAATTTAAGGTTCGATAGCAGAGTGAGGACTCTACCTAGAGACTGAACAAGAAAGGTGAGAAAATCTTTGACAAAAGAACAATAAGGGGCAGAAGA